CGGGACCGCGCTGCAGCGAGGGGCGGGAGGGCAGCCGGCAGGTGAGCGGGACGGGACGGGGCGCGGGGCAGGACAGGGACCCCCTCTCCCATGCCCACCCGTGACAGAGCCCTGCCCTGTGCAAGGGACAGGACCCCCCCACGCCCGTGATCCCCTGCACCCACCCATAGCAGTGATAGGGACCCTCACGCCCCACTCGTGGCAGTGACCCCTTGCACACCCAAGCAGTGACAGCACAATCCCACCCGTGGCAGTGTCCCCCACCTGCCACCCCTACAGCACTAATGGAGTGGCTGCCCTGTATCCTTTACTGCAGGTGCGTGCAGAGCTCGGGGCACTGAGGGGGCTGTAGGCACTGCCAACAGCCCCTTCAGTTATCTTATTTGGGCTCTGTAGGCACTGCCACAATATCAATCAAGCCTCTAATGAGATGGAGCTGCCACCGGTCAGTGGGATGAGGGGTACAGCTTGCTGGGCACTCGCTGAAAGCCCTCCGTAAGCCAGGACTCAGAACCACGGCACTGGCTAATTAAATCTGTGGGCATCTGTCACGTGCAGCAATAAGAGGTGCAGGATTAGGGGGGGATCCCTTCCTTCCAGAGGTAAATGCAGCTGAGTCTGGGGTGGAGCAGTGCTGCTGTATTCATGGGCGACTGGTAGGGGGTGCACGGGGGTGCACGTACCCCCCCGATGGGGCTGGTGCCCCCCTAACAGGGCTGCCACCACCAGAGGCTTCTGCGAGTGACCCGCACCCCAGATTCAGGAGGCACCAGTCACTCACGGCTGTATTATTATTAGTGTCTGTTTCAGAGGCAGGCTCAGCACTCTCCAAACCCAGAGGAAGAGTCCTGGTCTGGAAGGATGTACATCAGGGACCTTAGTGGGTGGGATGTCACGTATGGGGTGTGCCCGCGGGGGGGCAGCCTGGGCTTGGTACAGCGCTGGCAGCTCTGCCCACCTGCTCACTCCTAGTGTGGCTGCAGTGGGACCCTTGGCTATGCTACTACCAGGCTGCCTTGGACTGCTCCACTTGGAGTTCAGAGTTTCCTGTCTCTGTGTTGGTGCAGGAAGTCACACGTGGTCGAGTCAGTGGCAGTCAGCCCAGCAGAGCCCAGCTGCTCATATTGGGCTGGCTCCACTCCCCACAGTTGTCTCTGGGGCTTGCTTGGGGCACACCTGGTCTGTGGAAGCTCCCCACTCTCTCTGCCCAGTGTCTCCCTTGCTGTTTCTGGCTACGTGAGTCCCATGGGCTCTGCTTTGTCTACAACCTGTTGATGCCATTTCCTTCTCTCCTGCAGCAGGCAAGACCCAGTATCCCAGCCAAGGCACCAGGCACTAGAAAGCCTGGCCCCCCACCCCACGTCTGTGCTCTTGTGAGATAAGATTGCCAAAGAGGCCCCCTCCAGAGCTGGAGAGTCTGCATCCAGCTGAGGTTGCATGGAGAAGCTCCCCATGGAGCAACAGCACCCTTTGGAGCTCAAGGGAGAGACAATGGTGCCTCCCCCCATCTCAGCCCAGGTTATGGCGCTGCTGTTACTACCCTTGCTCCTGGCACTGCCCACCCGCGCCCGCCCTGTGCCCACCCCAGCAGATGAGAGCGGGGAGCTTGTGGTGAGTCTTGCGGCAAAGCCATGCTTGCATGGCTCGGAGGAGGGTGGGGGTTGGGGGTCTCCCTCTCCCAGGACTTCCAGTAACCCCTGTGCCTGGGGACAGTGCATACAGGGCTGTGGGTCCCTGATAGTGCTGTACCCCAGACCCTCCTGAGCTTTGACGGTGCCTCTCAATTTCAGTCTGCAGCCCTTGGCTTGCCATCCTGTCAGTGCACCTCTCCTCACCCATAGCCCCCCTTGCCCTGCTCTGGGCCCCCCTCCACCTTGCTGGTGCCCCTCAATCCCAGCCCACAGCCCTGTTCCCCTGCTGAAAAGCCTTCCCTTGCTCTGTGATACATGGACATATGGAGGCAAGGCTGAGACTCTTTAAACTCATATCACCAGTGCCCTGGGACGGGATTTGTATCTGGGGTGGGGCTGGCTTTGCCCTCCCCTGGCTGTCCAAGGAGCTGGGCACCAAAGGAGGCATTTTGCAAGTGAAGGGGCTGGTGTCCAATTCCCACCTGTGCCCTCCACCCAGGATTGGCTGATGCAGTACGGCTATCTCCCGCCCACGGACCCTGTTACTGGCCAGCTCCAGACCTGGGAGGCCGTGACCAGCGCCATCCTCACGATGCAGCGGTTTGCTGGCATCGCCGAGACGGGGATCCCAGGTATGCTGGAGCCTGCCTGCCTCTCCGCACCCACCTCGGCCCCCGTGCCAAGCTGCTTCAGAGCCAGGGTAGGAATGGCCCTGCTCTCACTGCAGTACTCCACGAGGAGCCGTTGTGCCATGGCTGTGTGAGGGAGCCTGCCCTGGGCTCCAGGGCAGTGCCCAGTGCCTTTCTAGGGATACCAGGGCCTGTTTATTTCCCCTGGCACTGCTCCCTTGTGGGCTTGAGCTAAGAAGTGGCAGCTCACTGCATGGGTGAGCTAGAGACAATTTCCCAGCTGGCCTGGTGAGTGACCCACCTGTGCACTCCCTCTCCTGTGGTCCAGATGATGCCACACTAGCGCTGATCCAGATGCCCCGCTGCTCGTTGCCAGACATCCTCCCCAACCGCCCTGCCAAGCTGTCCGCAGGGCAGCATGCGAAGAGGCAGCAGAGGAAGAGTCGGGGGAGGCGGAGCGCAGGCCTAGCCTGGACCAAAAGGAACATCTCCTGGAGGTGGGAATCAGGATCTCCCCTCCTGCCCTATCCAAACAAATTTCCCTTCACCAGCAGGGCTGAGCCCCGCAGGCAATTTTGGGGTGTAACTTGGGCCTGCTGACCCCAGCAACAGCTTTCCCTGCTGGATAAACCCAGCCAGCCCATCTGCCTGTGTGCCACCCCCCCATAACAAAGCAGCTAAGCTCCCCAAGAGACTGATTCACATGGAGCCTGGGGAAGGGGAGGAAGTGTGAATGGGGGCACCAAAGCAGAAGTGTAATACAGCTGTTTGACACAAGGGGGCACCAGGCTGCCAGGATGCTCACCTCTGCCCCCAGCCCCAGCTATGCAGTGAAGGTAAAACCCCAGGGCTGCAGTGGGTTGGGGCTGCCAGGGGAATGGGACTGGGGTCTCAGTGGAGTTGGGATGTAGGCTGAGGCCAGCAGCCACCAGAAAGCAGAGAAGGGTCCCATGCCCACAAGCTGTGTGAGTTTTGCTCAGTGGGGCTCCTCCCCACAGCTGCTCCCTTCTCTCTCCAGCTCTGGCCTCCCCACTGTTAGCCCCCCAGAAAAAAACAGAGTGGGACACAGGGGCTGCATTGCACTTGCATTTGTTGGAGGTGCAAACAGCCAGGTCTTAAAGCAGCACTACCTTGCCCAGTGGGTGCAGTTCCAGACTGCCAGGGACAACCCCACAGGGGCTGTGCAGGCCCACAGGGCCACTGTTTGGCTTGTGGCAGCTGGAAGTGGAGACCCCCCCTCCTCCTGTCCAACTCATCAGGCTGCTGCCCTGACCCAGCCCCTGTGTGTGACCACCTCTGCTGTCACCCCAGCTGTAGCCTTTGAGGCAGGGCACCCACCCATCCCATTCCCCAGGGGGAAGGCTGCAGGGGAGTAGGAGAGTGGATCGTGTTGCTCCCCAGTGTCTGTTGGAGATGGAAGTAAAAGCCTCAGGGACAGTGTTACAGAGAGCCCTGGAAGTGAGAAGGGGAAAGAGGAGATGGGGGCCCTGGTAAAACTGAGGGGGTCCTAGGTAGGGGGTAAGGATTGAAAGGCATCAGCTGAGGTGACTGGTGGTGAGCTAGGGCTGGGACATTGTAGGGCTGTGGTTTGGGAGTGAGGACCACTGGCTGAGCTGAGAAAGTAGGGGCTGTGGGTAGGAGTGAGGGGCACTGGCTGAACTGGGCTGGAGGGGCTATGGATAGGAGTAAGGGGGACTGGCTGAGCTGGGATAGCTCAGGTTGCTCCAAGCCAACCCTCATCTCCTGCCAGGGTGAAGACATATCCGCGGGGGGCCCGCCTCAGCCGGGAGACCATGCGAGTGCTGATATACTATGCACTGCGAGTCTGGGGTGAGGCTACCCCCCTCACCTTCCACGAGGTGGGGGGTCACAGCGCTGACATCTCAGTGGAGTTCCTGCAGCGGGAGCATGGGGATGGGTCCCCCTTTGACGGCCCGGGGGGCATGGTGGCACATGCCTTCTTCCCTGGCGACCCCCAGCGTGCTGGCAATGTCCACTTCGACAGCGAAGAGGACTGGACCTTCCGTGCCCCAGGTGAGCCCTGGAGGCATGGTGTGGGGGATGTTTCCTTCAGTCAGGAACTAGGAATCTCCCCAGCTGGAGCTCACCCACACCCCCTCCTTTCCCAGCAGATGACTATGGGATGGACCTCTTTGCTGTGGCAGTACACGAGTTTGGCCACAGCCTGGGCCTGACGCACTCCCCCTCCAAGCGCTCCATCATGCGTCCCTACTACCAGGGGCCCGTGGGTGACCCCCTGCAGTACCAGCTGCTGGCAGTTGACCGGCTGGACATCCAGAGGCTCTATGGTATGGGGCAGGGGGCAGGGGTGAGGGCACCCTTGGCATGGCTCTAACAAATCTCTGGGAGCTTAGCCCAAAAGACCTGAGGGCTCGCGCCCCTGGCTGCTCTGTGGTGCACTGAGTTGGCATCCCTCAGTCAGACAAGCTGAAAGCCTCTCCAGTAGATGCACTCTCCTGTCTGCATCTCCTGGGCATGAGGAGGCACACTGGGGAGAGCTGGGTGTAGGGCCTAGGACTGCTGCTTTCTGGAAGGTGGTGTTGCCTCAGGCTCTTTGTTCAAGGCCCAGGGCTAAGTCACTGAGTCAGGGGGCGGCAGCTCCTTGGGGAGGGGCTTGGGGCATTGCTGGGCCTGATGCCCATGTGCCCGGTGCTGCCCACAGGAAGCCGAGCCCTGCACTCCACAGAGAGGCCTGAGGTGTCGTCCCTGCTCCCAGCCCTGTCTGCTCTGCCCCGCAACTTCCCTGCCTTGAGGTGAGCCAGGATGGTCCCTGCTCCTTCACACATTGAGTAGGAGACTCAGCTGTGGCCTGGCCTTGCTCTGCACTAGGCTGTGATAAGATCAGGCCCCACCAGGCTCCATCAGGCCTGGGAGACCCAGGCAGTGGGACAGGATGGCAGCAATGGAGCTTATGTGTCTGGGCTAGTAGGGTGCAGGGCCCCATGTGTGCCCCAGTGCAGCCATGGGGAGAGCTCTGGCCTTTCTGCCACGCTGGAAACAGAGATCTCTGCATCCAGGAGGAGGTTTCTACCAGGTTGGCCTGAGCCTGGCGGGGAGGGGGGCGGCGGCATGAGGGGAAACCCCTTCCCTCCTTGGTCGGCCAGTCACACACCACTGGCTTGCAGGTCGGGGGACCTCCCAGACCGCTGCTCTTCCAGCATCGATGCCGTCACGCAGATCCGTGGGGAAATCTTCTTCTTCAAAGGTCTGTTGTTGCATGTGGGGAGTGGCCTCTTCCCCTCCCCAGCAGAGCAGCCTGGCTCCCCCTGCCCCAGTTGGGATATCTTGGGCTGGGGGCTCCCTTCCCTAGTGACCCACCACCTGTAGGACCTGCTGCATGCTCAGCCATGGCAGAGAGCAGCTCCCTGGGAGGAAGATGTGTGCTGAATATGGGGGTGTCTACTCAGGGATCAGGCTGTCCCCACCCTCATGGGATGGTGGGTCTCTTTGCCTAGCCCTGGCTGAGACTCTGGTGTAATGGTTGAGCAAAAAAAGGCTGAACCTACAGTGCCTGTTCAAACCCTGCATCTCTAAGGGCTCTCCCAGCCCTGCACACCTGCAGTCCCCTTGGCTTGGGCCTTACAGCAACAACCACCACGTGAGCCAATGCTAACATCTTGTCTCCCCTTGTGAGGCAGGTCCATACTTCTGGCGCCTGACCCAAGGCCAGCACCTCACCTCCCTGCGCCCTTCCCTGATCGCAGGCTTCTGGCAGGGCCTCCCTAGACACCTGGACAAAGTGGATGCTGTGTACGAGAGGCCCACGGACTATCGCATCCTCTTCTTCAGTGGTGAGTACCAGGAGCGGACAGTGGGAGGCACTTGAGGGCTTAGTGCTTTGATATACCTGTGATATGACTTGGACCCATCCTGGGGAACTGGCTTCCACTCTTGCTGCCTAATCCTGAGGCCTCCCTGTGGCCAAGTGCTTTGAGACTTGGAGGGCAGCCTGCCCACTCTTACCCCCTTCCCTCCCACTTCTCTCGGCCAGGACCCTTGTACTGGGTGTTCAAGGACAATAGTGTGGAAGAGGGGTACCCACGCCCTGTCACAGACTTTGGGCTGCCCAGGACAGGAGTGGATGGTGCCTTCTCTTGGTCTCACGACCAGAAAACCTACTTCTTCAAGGACGGGCTGCACTGGCGCTATGACGAGGCTGCTGGCCACATGGACAAGGGCTTCCCCACCCAGGACACTCCCTGGGGGCCCATGCCCAGCCCTGTGGATGACGTGCTGAGTGGGAACAATGGTGAGTCCCCCCAGTCCCTGCTTCTCACTCCATCACCTCCCCTGGTGTGTGAAGGGTGGGCCTTCCCTTCTCAATCCCCCTCCACCACCCTTGAGCTGTGTACAGAGCCCTGATGTGCTCATAACCCCCATCTTCCTGCAGGAGAGGTGTATGCCTTCAAGGGCCGGCAGTACTGGAAGTTTGACCAGCGCAGCCTCAAGCCAGAGGGGAGTTACCCTCGCTCCATAGCCAAGGACTGGCTGGAGTGCGCGGAGGAGCCATACCCGCCTCTGAGTGCCCCTACCAGCCCTATGACAGGAGCTGGATCCCAGCCAGATGTGCAGGCCCCTCTGCCAGAGGCAGAGCACTGTGTGTGTTACAGCACATCCACTTGTGCCGGGCCTGGCTGGACCCTTATCATCCTTCTGTTGCTCCAGGGACTTGTCTAGGCTGGAGCTGCTCCCACTCTCTTTGTGCAGCCACTACTCTGTATGTCTGAATTATGCCCAGCCAGGATGCTGATGAGGGGATCCCTTGGGAGGGCATCACACCCCCTGGAGCCAGGCCTGCATGGCTTTGCTTGCAGGGTGCATGGGCCCCAGGGCAGGCAGGGCCCTGCATGTCGGGGACTGTTGCTTCAAGTGAGACAATGCCCGGGGCCAGCGGGAAGGGAAGTGTCAGCAGGAGCTGCCCAGTCATGCTCAGCCTCTGTGCAGAGGGTTGACTCAGCGGGGAACTAGTCCACCCTGTCCTGGTAGCATGGCCCTGCAGAGGCCCAGGAGAGCAGAACAAGTGTGGGAAGATCTCTCAGGACCCCTCAGGCAGGCCCTAGCTTCCTGTTCCCCAGGCCTCATCCTCCCGCAACTCCCTGTCACACCACCTTCCTCCTCTCTGTCCTCTCCTAGTCCCAGGGTTGAGGACAAGTTGCCTGGACAAGAAGCTGCCATTTCTGCTTGGTGCTAGGGAACTGGCACCCTGCCCTTCCTGCCCTTCCCTTTGCCAGAGCCAGAGCAAGCTCTGGGGTATCCCCTCTCCTGGGTCTGTAAAGCAGCAAAGGCAGGCAGACAGGTGCCAAAGCTGTTCCTTTAATGAGAAGTCCAGTGGGTACAGAGCAAGGGCCCAGACCAGGGGTGAAGCAGCAGTTTTGACCCCAGCATGGGACCTGGGCATCACTTCCAGCTGGTGAAGAACTGCTTGAAGAGGGGGCTCTCACGGCCCTGGGGCAGGATCTCCACCTGGAGGCAGAGAGGTGGGTGAAGTTGGGGCCAAGATGGGGGCTGCCCTTGTGCATTTTAGGGCCCATATGCATTGCCTCTGGGCACAGAGGAGGAAGAGGCCTGCAGAGAGCTTGGCTGTAGGCTCGGCCCAATTTGAGGGAGGGCAGAGCCAGCCTGGTGCTGGGCAACAAGCCGAGGATGTCCTCCCTGCTCCAGGATCCTGTTGAGATGGCCTCATTTGAGGCAGTCTTCACCTTCAATCCTCACCTCCAGACTTCCCCTGTCTGCCCTGGAGAGACCCCCTCAGCCTGCCCACTCATTCACTCACCTGGGTCTTGGGGGAGTACTTCATGCGGGAGATGAAGTCCTCGGCCACTTTCAGGGCTGCCTGTCGCTCCTGCTCGTTGGCCTTGCGACCTGGGAGTAGGACGGAGGAAGTGTCAGAGGGATCAAGCAGCTGTCCCCCTACAGAGGTAGCTTCCCACCCCAGAGGAGAGGCCAGGGTGCCTGGCTGTGTGCCTGTGGCCCCAGCATCAGGCCCCTTTCACTACAGCTCCGGGCAGGGGCTTTGGAAATGGCTGGGCCAAGGGTCCCAGAGGGAGAGGGTGCCAGGAAGGGTGGGAGTGCCAGGGGCTTTGGGGCTAGATCCTGGAGAGCTCAGGCTGGGCTCATGAGCAAAGAGAGGTGTAGGGTTGCGCACCTGCCAGCTTGCCAGGAAATTGCTGCTCCTTCCTTAAACCATGCGATGCTGACTCATGTCATGAGAGGGCCCCGCTCCCCAGTGCCCTGTGTGCCAAAGTAGGTGGCTGCAGCAGAGGCCACCTGGCACCAATCTTGGTGCTGCATTACAGTAAAGGCCAGTGTGTCAGAACCACATTGCTATCTCCAGGCTCACTGCTGTCATGGGGATGCTGTGTGGGGGACCATGCCCCCTCAGGGTCTGCTGTATCTGGGTCCCAACGGCAGTCTCCCCCAGGGTTGGAATGCCACCTTCACCAGTGTGGCAGGGGGGAAGAGGGTCGGGGGGAAAGTTCCTCCAGTCAGGGTGGGCTGAGACCATCACCTTTCCAGACATAGATCTTGCCACATTGGCCATTATCTAGGATGAAGCAGTCGTCGGTACACAGCAGGTCCTGGCTGAAGGGGCTGCTCTCGGACATCTTCGTCAGGTCCATCCGCCCCGTGGCATCCGAGACCTGTGGGGCACAGAGAGGGAGGGGCAGACACCTTCACAGCATGTTCTTTACTGCACCCCAGCCCTGGTGCCAGTGTACTCAGCATGGAGCCCACCCCAGCCCCAGCTCCACCCAAAGTGGGTCCTTGCCTTATAGAGGACAGCTGCACCCGCATTTGTCTGGTCTGCCATGACATCCTCCTCTGGACTGCCCTCTCGCAGGGTGGGCTTGGAGCCCAGCACCTGGGGGAGGAGACCACATCAGTCAGAGCCAGCCCTCACCGCCCCCCCAAGCCCCTGATACCTAACCCAACACCCTCGTGCCCCCCACATAGCGTTATCCTACATATTGTTCACCCAGGACTGCTCAGTAGCTCCCTCCACCCCCAGCCACAGGCAACTGGTAGAGGGGTCGTGGGGGGGCACACGTGCCCCCTGAGATTGGCCCCTGACTTGGCACCACTTAGGATGGGGCAGTTTTTTTGCCACATAGGCCAGCAGTGTGTTACCGGGGGG